AAAAAAAAAAAAAGATAGAATTGAAGAATTTGCCCTATTTCTGCCGTCTGTATTCTTTAATTAAAATATTTTTAATTATTACTTTTTACAAATTCTATAATTTATAAACCGAAAATAATTTTCACATAATTCAAATTACTAATTAACCCAAAAGAAACTAACTTATTAACATTTGTAGGTTTTACGCCTAGAGGTTAGAAGTCAAATATCTTTACCGTAGGCACTAAGGTTAATCGTGAAAGTACGGCACGGATATCGAAATATAACGCCCACCCACCGGAGTTCATAGAACTAGACAGAGAATGAAACTTAAGGCGTAAACTTAACTTCAAGGTGAATTTTTGCACGAGTTTTTACCTATAATTCCGAATATGAGATCTCGTGTATATCAGATTAACGACTGCTAGCTCCTCCCTTCCAATTACAGACACGAGAAGGTGCAGTAGGTCAACTCCACACCTGTTACAATCAATGTTATAAATCAATTAGGTTTAGTAAAAGAAATGGGAGGGGTAATGATCATGTATTAAATACGCCCAATTTGCCTGCTGTACTTCACGTAAAAACTAGTTTAAAATTTACGTTATGGTGTTTTAATGACATTCGTCACGTATTAATCTAAATATGTATTAAAATCGTCAAATAATTAACTTATATATATTTTAAACACGGAAGAGATAAGATTGAGTCAATGTTTTTTAATCGAAATAAATTCATTTATTTAAGAACCATATTCAATTAATATCTGTGTAATTTTTAGACGAAATGATGACCACATAACTGAAGTTCAACACACTAAAATTCAAAATTTATTATTTAACCTTAAGAGACTTCAAATATATAAATTTAAAATTGGTGGCATTTCGTCCAATTTATATTCTAAAAGAGATCAGACAATAGCTTACTGAAGACTTCAAATAGCCAATAAAATAGACGAAAAACCTTTATCTAAAAATAATATTGTAGGAGCATTATGTATACAATATCAAATGAAATAAATTTTCCGGAGTAATTTAAATAAAATTTCATTTTAAATTTAATTATATAACAACTTTTTCTTTTGAATAATATCATTTAAAATATTAAATTAATTATTGTTTCCTTTTTTTTTTTTAACGTAGCGATGTAGTAAATTGAAGTAGAACGATTTTATGAATGCATGTACAGTGTACAGGAATTTACGAATGAAATTATTTTAGGTAAAATTATAATGTCGTAACAAATCCAATCCAAAGAGGCTACTATAATTCATCCGTTCGTTCTTCGTGCATTATCAATAATTCAAACGAGCACGAAACTAATTGGTTTGAATGCGGCTGATTTAAGAATCAGCGTGTTATTTAATGTATTTATGAAACAAAAAAAAATTAGTTTTAATATAATGTAATTTCCATTCTATGTTAGTCTCGTATTTCTTTAAGATAACGTGCAGACATCATAAAGCTAAAAGCATTCGAATTGAAAGTGTTCAAAACAGAAAAATTATTAAATTTTGATTACTGTACTTTATTACTCCAATATTACGTGATTTTTGTGAAAATTAATTTGAAAAAATTTAAATATTTAAATCGCTAATAAATCTTTTAATAAATAATTAATATTTCTATGTTAAAATATAAGTTCAATCTAAAATTTTCCATTGATTAATTTCATTTTTTCACTTCATTTCTGCTTAATATTTTTACTATTGTTATATTCTATTTACTTTTTACTCTGAAAAAAGTAGTAGTTGAAAATATTTATAATAGTTATTTAGCTTATAAAAGCTTAATATTTGAATGAAATAATAAATACGGTTTCTTAATACATTAATTTGAGATCTTGTAACAATTACAAATTATTATTATTTTAAATAAAATATTATATACGAAGCAGCTATTAGGCTATAGTTTACTCATTTTAAGATATATCAGGTAGCATTTCGTTAACTCTTACACATTATAATTTTGGATTAGTATTTTTATATTTCGAAAAAAAAAAATTTTGGCACAGTTCATTTTTTTCTATTTAAATTCCATTAATTTATTATCTTTCCAAGCTTTATAATTAAATATAATCGAAAGAAAAATGTAAAAATTTATTTCTAAAAAAAAAAATCAATATTTGTAATGAAAAAGAGAATATCAGTTAGAAAAAAAAACTATTACACGATCAGTGTTTAATCACACACCGTAACTGGATACTACAAGAAAAGATATGTGATATTCACAAGAAAGATATAGGTATAATAATTAAAGCATTAGTCGATATACGAAAAATTTAAAACCAGATCGATTATATATATATAAATGTTATGATTAATTTGAATAATAAGTAAAGATAGAAAATTAAAGGCGTTGAAGTGACCGGTTTGGTCAGAATATGAGCGGGCCAACAACCCCATCTCATTTACTAAGAAGACGGAAGTAAGAAAGCTAAGTCGATTAAGGAACGAGACTGTCAGCTTTTAGAAAAAAAAGAGGAAAATATTGTACAACCAATAAGTCAAATAAAGTTCAACAATGAACCAGTTTAAAAAATATTTAGAAAAGGAGACTGCAAACGTAAATAAACGTTATGATCTGAACTTCCTGATGTGAATTGAAGAACAAAGCAAAAGAACTTCGTCTACGGTTTTTCTTACTTATTACACTCCAACACACTTACCCTGGCACTAAACCAACTTAACAACCCACGTCTCGTTGTTCGTTTCCCAAAAATAGGTGTCAGCATGCGCAAATCATTTGCTCTGGCAGAGATGTACTTTAAATGTCACAAATGATATCAAGAACAGAAATGAAACGATGCTAAAGGACAAATATTGTTTATCAACTATACAATTAAGAACAAAGAAGAAGATTTATACAAAAGATTACCTTACCAAAATAATAGTGAAAATATTTATTTATAAACGCTTCTAATAGAATCATTCCAACGAAACCACTCATAATCATAAACAAACAAAAATACTTTCAGGAAGTAAACTTCATTGTTCTTCTAAAAGTTACCATTCCTTTCTAAGAAAATACGATTAAGCTAAATGAAACTTCGGGAAAGGACTAAATAAAGAAAATAGTTTTAAAAAAAGTTTCATATTTTAAGACTTTTGTTCGCAAACCAATACAGAATTACCCTCTTCCCTCTTATCTCTCGAATGAGGTTAATTTAACAATGAAAAAAAATCCACTTTAGTTAATTCTTTAAGCATCACAATGATATATTCATAAAAGGAAATCAATCCATACTAGAAAGTAGCTCACAATTTTAAACAGTCACGCAATGCAATATATGATGTAATACTCAGAGATAAAAAAGGAATATAAATTTAGTGTAGGCCTATATGTGTACAAGCTAAAACTTTTTATGGATCATTTATATAACATCAAATAGTGATGCAAAAGAAGAAAAAAAAAAACGTCTATTTTTGAAATGAAATAAATTTATTCCCCACGTATTTGTGCTATATTCATATTTAATTTAATAAATGAATAAATAATATTTCGCATAAAAGAAATAAATTTTTATCTACTTCCTGTTATTAAAATTAAACATTCAGGGTCTAATAAAGTACCATTTATCCATTCTAAATAATAAAAATTCGCCAGATTTATTGATATTTGTATAGAAAGATGTTTTTTCTCACAAAGCATGAAGCGTTACGTTTTTTTTTTTATTCTTTTTGTTTGCTATCACTAAAAACGATCATCGTAATTTTACTGACCTTATAGTCATTCCATCAAATTTCTGCTACGATAAAGTGTGTAAAAGCACGTTCTACGGGTAACTGGTTCTTATTGTGCACTGTCAATGTCCCTTTACACAGCAATTAGTTGAAACCGTGAAGGAATCCTACGTAACGTTTGCGGGACACATTTATATCCACGTAATGGACATATCTTTGTTTTCATTGGTCAAATTTCGGTATAAAAAAAATTTCATTTTGTTATAAAATAAAATAATCGATTATAAATCAAAACAAACCTCCCCTTAATATAGACGAATGGAATTTATTGGTTAATTTTCAATTAGGATTAAACGATTTCCGATAAATATCAATCAATGAATCCTTTGATACTTCTTGATAATTATATTAAAACAGGTTTATTAATACTGATAAATAATTTATCTTTCCTGAAGGGTTATTGGATTTTTTAATCGATCTAATATCGTGTTAATTGAGATGGCGACAATTAGAAAGTACAGTGCTATGACGTTTTTTAAAAAATGCCTACGTCACAAAGCTGATAGTGTTATAGGTAAGTAAAATTTGCATTATTGATATTTCAATTACACAAATAACATAAATATATACTTATATAATATAAATGTTAGCTTATAAATTAACTTATAGTACCTTTGGGATATACTTTACATAATCAGCAACTTAAAATATCACGTAAGAAACTTCAATACATTTACAAGTCATTATAAATGAACAGAAATATTGTTTAAACTTAAAAAAAATAATGAAATTATCGTCATTAACCCAGGAACAGAAAGTCCTGATTTTTTTGAAAATTTCGTAAATAATTTCATAGATCAGATAAATTTATTAATTTAAGAATTTACACTAAAATTTATATAGAAGGAAACAATTGTTACTTTACATGATGAGAGGAGAGATGAGGAAGAAGAGTCATTAGTATGAAAGCAAGAGTTATTAAAGAATAGTAACAGATTGTCGGGAAGATCATAATTGCCTTCGTTTTTTTTTTTTGACAATTGTTTCTTATCGGCCTGATTACGTAGTTATTTTGCAATCAAAACAATTGTTAGAGTTCCGACATTATGAAACTTATATTGAGGTCAAAGCTACTTATAACCATATGCGGGTATCAGAAGCTGAATCTCTGCTTCTTTGCAATAACAATGCGGTCATTTTTTAATTTTCATCCATTAACTTCACGATAAAGCGTGGAAATTATGCAATTATGGTTCATCTGGAGATTTAGATAGGCTTACTTAATGCATTCTTTATTCAAAAATAAGATTTCATAACTATTTTTAAATAGAAAACGTACCTGATGTCTCTTAAATGACTCGTTTCTGTTATGGTTATCTGCATTTTCTGCACAAGAATCATTCCATTTATTTGTGTTTTTGTTATTGTTGTTATCCGAATAATCTAATTCCGGACTGGACGGAGTGTCGTAATGCTGAACAGTATCACCTTCCAAAGGAAGATTAGCACTAATTTTTCTTTTAGGCACTTTGCTTTCATTTTTTAGATGAGAATCGTCAAGTGATTGACTGCTAGAAAAAAGATTTGGTTTGGTATTTGATGTCGGAGTTTGAATACAGAGTTCCTGCAAAAAACTGAGATCGTCACAAAACGACGATTTCTGTTTTTCGCCGGATTTCCTCATTTCTTCTTCCAGCATTTCTCCGTAAGGTCCTCTCAGTCGCTTTTTAGAATACCTACGCTGTTGCTGCGGGCTCTTAGTAGAGTATTTTTCTGGGTTTTCGTTGGCAGTTAAACGTTCCGGATCTATTCCAAATATCCTTGGATGAAGTGAGGGAGAAGGAGTCAAAGAACCAGTCCTTGTTTGGTAACTTGATCTATGACGTGCAATATTCTGAGGACACTGGACATCGGGTGCAGATTCGTGAATGTCGAGTCTCATGCCATCGCGCCCTTTTTCTTCTATAGAATTGGGTTGTGGTGATTCTCCGAGTTCTGGTTCGCTTTTACTGGAAGCCATCAACTCGGGAAAATCGACATTTTCACCAGTCATTTTATCACTCCCTGGGTCACTATGATGTTTCTTTTTCGATATTTTCGCATCAGTGACGGTGAGTTTATTAAGGTCAGCAGAAGTCACACTATCTATCACATCACTATATGTCTCCTCTGCTACACCTTCGCTAGGACAATAATGACTGTCGGCGAGAGATACATTGCTTCTATGCCTTGATCCCTCAGCTATTATTCCTGGCACACACAACGATTTTAATCCTTCGCTATCAACAGAACTGTATTGAATATCCTCTTCTGTACCGGATCCTTTTCTCTGTGGAGGATATGTTAAAGAACGACCATTTCCCGATTTCGGTGGATGTTCTTGGGATCTGAAACCTACCGACTGTCCCTTTTTTCTTCTCCTTTTATCAGGAGCAAGAAGAGGCAGTGGTTCCATCGTCCTACCGGGATCGGTCTCTGAATCTAATCCTTCATCCACGGCGGAATCTAACGATATGCTACTTCCATCTGATCTCAATTGCACTCCAGTTGTTGTGGGACAATTGCCCGTTCTCCTTCGTGGTAACGTCGCAGGTCCCGAATGAACTTCTAACACTTCGTTAGTTAAATCTACGTGAGACATCGAGGAACTTCTTACAACAGGATAAGGTTTATCTTTGCTATTTCTCAGTTTATCCGTTAATTCTTTCAACCTGCTTTGACCGGCACTTGGAGATCTAGGAGGACGCGGAGATTTTTCCATTCTTGTTAAATTATCCTTTTCCCACTTTTTGATCAAACAGGAGGGCAGGTCTGGCTTAACTCTCACTCGTCTCCCCGCTCCTAGGAGACGCGGTGGTGTGACCTTTGTTAGCCTTGTTAAGGATATATTGGGTAAGTGAGATTGTCCCCTTACCCCATCCTGCCTGCCCCCCTCTCTTTCGGGCGTAAAAACTCCCGAACGCTGCAATGATCCTCTTACAGTAGGGAGGGTACTTAATTTCTTTCTCTCATTTCTTGCATCTGGAGTAGTAGTCGCTAAATCCTCAGAGAGATCAAATTCGCTGCACAACCTCTCGAAAGTTAAGAGAATATCGTCGAGAGTTAAACTGTCCTCAGACGCTGAATGGGACGAGAGACGGTCGTCCCGAGAACAGCAGCACAGTTGGTTGCTATCTTTAGCACAACTATTCCTGCTGCTTGTAGTGTGTCGTTTAAATATAGCTGTTGATGGTTTGTCCTCACATCTACTTTCGACTCTCTCCCTCGGCCCAGATGTGGGATGGTCCAACTGAAGAGTACACGTCACTCTATATGTGGGGTGGGTCTTTTCCCGGATGTATGTCTGATATACAGAAACTTGTACTGGCTGATTATCTCCGTCCGAAATACTTGGACAATCGAACGAATCTGGCACTCGATATTGCGGTACACCGTGTATAATTCGGCCGACACAATCGTACGACCCAGTCTGTACGGCGTCATAAGTGTGTCTGTCCCGAATCCAATCTCGCATTCCTGGAGAAGTGGTGTGGTCAGTCATCTCTCTTCATCGCATTTCATCACAAATCCTACAGAAAAAAAGAAAATGACGAAATATAATATTTAAAAAATATAGAAACAAGCGTCTGTTAATTAATACCAATTAAATCAACAATATTTACTGCTAATAAATTTTATGCATAGTTTACAAATCTATATAAAGTCAGAAACAATAAAATTTGCCAACTTTAAATTCAATATAAAGAGTTATCTCCATTCATTAATCATAAATAATTTTATAAACACGAAGATAAATATTTTTATTAACTGTTTCAGTTCTACTTCTCTACTTCCCACCTCACGTCAATTGGAGACTAGAGACGTATCGTTTAATCGACCGGTTCCGGATAAGAAAAAAAAAGCTACGCATATGCATACAGTATGTATATATATATATAGGCCTATACATAACCAGGCAATAACATCTGATTTTTTTTTGCCTATTTACCGACTATTTCGACGACATATTGTCTACATGTTGTTACAGTTGACATGCATGCAATTGAAATGGATTGTCTCCTTCCGCAAAATGAAATTTAAAATTCAAAACAATTTTATCAAACTTTTCGAATTTTTAATAATGAAATCTTTAGTTTTTATATTTTAGTATATTTTATTTNGTGCCGGGGTTAATATATTTTAACGTCAACAGATGGAGCCACTTCTATTTCCTTCTCTTTTATTATTTCCTGTCTAATTTCATCCTTCAATTTTCATCAAAACTTTTACCGCTACTCGTAATTTTCCATTTACCGAAAACACTTACTATTTACGGGTTACCATCTAAAAATACATTTTATCAAATTTTTTTGAATATCTTTTATTAAAATCTACTAAAAAACCGTTTCTAATTTTGGCACGTGGTTTATTTATAGAATGATCCGAACTTGCAAAACTGAAAAGCATCTCTGAATATTAAAAAAGTCAATATGAGGAAAAGAACAACAACTTCCTACTTCTATTGCATAGGAAATAGCCTACTAAACATTTTGTTTGAAAATTTTTATATATTTTATTGTTAGATTTATAAATTTTTTTTTCAATTTCTCTCATAAAATACTCTTATATTCTTAAATATCTGAATAATATTGAAAATATAACGTTTTTAAATTTAAAATTTTTTTAACTTTGTGTGTTGCATATAAAAATAAACTGGATATTGTTCCGGATAAATTTTGATGATAAAGTTTTGAGTGTAATTTAAGACGTAAACAATATCAAATCAAACAATTTATTCTAATTAAAAATTATTTTAGATTAATACAATAGCAGAAACTTTTATTAAAATTCATATCGTAACAGAGAAGCAAATGCGCAAAGTATTACCCCTATGGGATACTTAATATGCAGATCTTCAGTGTCTGTATGGAAAGTAGCCTCACAGGCTAATAAATATACACCCAATTCTGTTTTCACATGATTTTGAGTTAACACGGTCTGTAAAAAATAAAGTCTGTGCAAATAATATAAATTTGTTAAATTTTGCTGTTATGTAATTTGCAATTATTCCTCCTCTTATTTATTATTAATAAATAAAACCGAATTATTTTCTTTAAACACATCATTTTGTATTAATTGTTTTATCGCATTATTTTTACTGGTTTTTAATTTCTATTCTTCCACACGGAAAGTAGAGAAAAATGGAAGATCGTATGAATTTATTTCTACATACAATATACAATTGTTTACAAGGCGTTTGAGGATGACTGGGTTAATCCAGTCATCCTCAAACGCTCTTTAATTAAGTTATTAATAAAAGAGAGTTAAATTATTAACTAATTATAGATTTAATGTCAGTCAAAGTGTGATAGTAATGTTTCGTTTCAAATTAATACCATAAACTCTAGTAAAGTTAGTTTCATTACGTTACAACTAAAACTTACCTGTGATTAATTGCTATTTTGATGCTTCATGCTGCGCTTGAAGGACATTTCGACATGCTGAGACGTTTGAAGCCGTTTTTAATAGGAAACGATTTGTGGCATACATTAAAGAATTTTTCCATCTGTTTTAAATGTCTTGGATTAAAATTCCTGTGCATACTTTTTTAGAAATTAAGCATTAGTTTTTGCTGTTTTATCTAAATTGTTGGTTGACCGAACTCGATACAAAGATGTTTTTTTCTCATGATCCATACACAGATGTTTTACTACTTTGTTTAAAAAAAATTATCTCCCTTACATTTAATTAAACATTATATTTACACAATTTTAAGAAATATTTAAATTTAACATTATTAAATTGGTAAATATAATATTTATAATAATTTTAATCCAATTAATTCAAAGAATTTTGAGAATTCCATAAATTCAGAAAAAACAATTCCTCCGAATTTTTTTGCATTTCTCTACGTTTCAAGGTCCTCTGAGTCCAAAAATATAAAAATCTTGGAGAGGGGTCATTTTTTTGCCCGATCGCCATACATTTCCTCTGTTATATATAACAGACAGAATAATAAAAATGTAAAAATAGCACTTTTTTAGTCCCGAAAATAGTCAAATCTACAAAATATTCGGTAAAAATAATAAACGAATATTTTATATGAATTTTTAAAAACTCATAAAAAATTATTGGACAATCTTAATTGATCCACTTGGACCTAAATCGTATTTACTGTGTATCGGAGTTTTAACATTATAACATTTAAGGAAAAATAACACGCACATGCATACAAATCTGGCCTTTATTTATTATCTTTAAACTGAATACAGCATTGTGTATATGATAATTCTAACATTAAAATGCATATTGTTATTATTACAGTATAAAACGTTTTAATACGTCTGTAGTCCTTTCTGACTTTTTTTTTTCTCTATATATAACTTTGCTAATCTGAATAACTCCGTGCAATAATTAGTTCGGATTAGCGAGAATGCATTGTAATTTGTTACGTTTTTAGATTTATAACTCCATACGATTACACTTTTTAACGATCAGAATTGAGTTACATGGATTACGTTAAAATTAAACCATCCAGTGGCTACTGACTGTCCTTCTTAACTGGATACGATACCTGTTGATGCATGACATCTTCCATTAGTTCTTAATCATACGTTTTCAGTTCTCCGAATTAAATTTATATCCAATAGCATAAACATTTCTTTTTCTTTACACAAGAAAACGTTTAAAAAATGAATGTTATTGATTAGAAATTCGATGAATCAATAATCTTTATTTATATATTTGTTTAAATACTTTTTAAAAGAACCTCTATTTTAACAAATGATTATTTTGAAATAAATTTCAAATATAGTATTTCTAATTAATTGAAATGTTTTTTTTATGTCTTTATAATATATTACTACTGTAAATAATGTATAGATTTCTAGAAAAAAACTGAAATTTATACAAATTATCAGTATTATTATAACGAAGGCTATGAATTATCACACTATAATTTATTTAAAAAGAATATAAATGAAGTTGCTCAAATTAACATAACTGCAATTATACGATTCTTCGAGACCTGGTTTAAGACTCCTTAGAAACAAAACGAATACAGTATTTCTTTCCTTTTTCTATTTATTTGTTATACGGTTCAGACTGAATTCTTCGAATCTTCAGACCTCAGCTCAATTGTGACACTGGGTTTAAAGTTCAAAGTTAACTCAGTTAATAATATACTTCTTATTTTTTCGTAAAATAATTTATAGATTAAGTTATTTTAACTACATTTTAACATATAAAATATGCTCTTATCGTGACTCAATGAGTTTTTATAATCATACTGGACTATAAAGGAAAATGACTACATAATCCATCTTAATAACATTTTATTTATTTTTTAACTATTTCATTCTAATTTTTTACAATGACATTGCGAATAAATCAAAAATCATATTTCAATATTTTATATTCAATGTTGCCAACTCTTCTTAATAAGAATTCTCACTTATTTTATTAAAATTTCCCATTTTTTCCCATATTATTCTATGAAATTTCTCGTATTTTTCCACTTCAAAATTTATTCACTAGCCTCTTTATTACGACCACACAAAATATACAAATGAAATTAGATATTAAAGCTGTTTTTTTGGATTTAAATTTTATTATTGTAACTTAAAAGGTGTACATAACTGTCTATTTATATTTAGTATTAAAAAAAGCTAACTAAAAATGAAAATTAAAAAATATATATATATGTTTTGCTAAGCATCTTTGCATTGATTTACAGTTTACCAATAATTCAACACCTAGCCGATTACATTTCTTTTTTTTCCATCGGTTACGATAGAAAATACCGTAAATATCATAGTGTTTCGTGTGTCATATCTCGACTCACGTCAGACTTAATGAAGATTATAATCTTTATTAGCATATACAATTTCTTTATTTTTTTAAAATAAAGTATTATTATAACAGATGGAGCTATACAAAATTTTATAGTTTGACCTGGAAAGTTATGCAATTCGTTGATGGATTTTTTTCGTGATAAATTTAAACTAAGTATCTTATGTAGAGAGAGTAGATATAGAATAAGAAGGCGGAAGTAAAGAATTATTGATTTATATTGTTTCAAATACCTGTAGATCTGAAATTCCTGTTTCAAACAGTAGAAGTTTGAGAAGTTTTGAGTGTTTTAGGAATTAAAGGTTTATATAATAATTTTTTAAAAACGAATTCAACCAGAACAGTGGTGTGTTGTGCCAACTTCTAGTCAGTGTGTTGAAAAATACATTGACTAAAAGAATTGTAGTAAAAACTATTTAAAAATTTAGTGGGAAAATTTAAATGCTTTAAGATAAAATCTAAAATTATTCTAAAAAACATAATTAAGATTTTAGTGTGCACGAAAAACATCTCCGCTCTTCCTTTCTTTTTTCCTTCCGTCAGATGATTTAGCAGCGTAAAATGTTTTCTACAGGAGGCTAACAGCTGACAAGGATTAGTTTTATGCTCACTAAATTACGCGATAGATCAGTTTTTACAGAAGAATGACAATTACTAATACAAAAATGAATATTAAGCTATGTAATTAGGGATTCACTTATACAGTACAGTATATATTAAAATTTGAATTAAAGGTTCTGCGAATCCCCTAGAACCTACTATAGCACATACATGAATCAGGAACAAATACTGAAAAATTAGAACATTCAAACCAAAGAAAGACTTTCATAGTTATATCTTATATATATATAATTTTATTTTTCTATTGAAATAATTCTTAATTTTTTTTTACAAAGATTTTAAATTAAATATTTCACTTATAAATATTTCGTTAATTCAATTTTTTAGAGTAGGAATTTTGAGAATTAGAGCTTAACACTCATCCTAATTGAAAGCAACGATACAATATTTTAATACAATACAATTATCAATCAATTAATATTATAATATTATATACTATTTATTCAATTTTATTGTGTATTAATTATCAATACAATACAATTTTTCGAAACTTTATATCTGGAAATTTTGCGAATATTTTTTGTATTGTTATCCATTTAAATTACTTTAATTAATACTTCTCTCAAAAGATGGCAGCAAATTATAGTCTGTGAATTGATATCGTTCCAATACAATTAGTAAAGTTTAATTTAATGCATTCTTAAATTGGACTCGTTGATATCATTCACGTTTTTATTATGTATAAATCTATCCAGGCTATGAATATGTTAAATTATAATACAATTAATAAATAATATTTTTTGGAATATCTTTAAAACGGTAATTTAAATTAATTTTACATTCAGAAAACATTTAAAGAGTATCTCTACAGAGGTAATCCAAAGATTCCAAATAATCTATACAATAAAACAATATATATATAAAATTAACCAAGTTAGAAAAGTTTCTAAATTTCCGAACGAATTTATTGCTTGTTTTTAGATAAAACATTTCACGTGATTATTTTTAAATACGTCCACATAAATAATTGATGCAGAAAATTTTCATTTAGAATAAATCCTGAATTAATTGCAGAATAAAATCCATATAATTATACTATTTTATTTGTTTAAATAACGCAATTCTATCTCTAACAAGCGTAGTGAGTCAGCTAATTAAAACCTTTCATCAAGAGAATAAATTAAAATTTCGTTTAATATTTAATGCGACAAATGTTTAAGCTTAATTAAATATGTTTAATATTTATCCAGAAATATAAAAGTTTTATAAATGATGTTTTAATCTAATTTCCCCGCTGAAAAATATATAAAAATTGAAACCCGTCTTAAAAATTTGAATAAAAATTTAATTTTGAAGTATAATTATCGATTACGCATTGTAAGAATTTCAAATTAAAAACTTACAATAAATTACTACTTAAAATAACAAGTGCAGATGTTTATTTTTCAGTTCACGTGACACACACTTTCAAGGCGCAGAATCTAAACTAAGGTGCAACAAACAAAGAGACGAACGCATATTCCTTCAAAACATTTTGGAATATATTGGCTGTGATCATTCAACATTCCTTTACATATATATAAATGTAAGTACAAACTATACGGCGTTAATTACGGCGGTATCGATTAAATTAAACACTTTAAACGTTTAATATAATTTAAAATAATTATCTATTCTGTTTACTGCGAAGTTTGAAGTATTTTGTTTTAACACGTATAAATGAAAAAAAAAACAATGCTTTAACTTTGAATTAAAAGTATACTCCCGATACACACACACACGCGTATATTTATGCTAAATTTCTACTTTTTTTAAGGCTAAATATTAACCTTCTGTCGATACAAACTGAATTGATTAATGATAAATATGTTATTAATTAGAAAATTATATATTTTTTAAAGTTTGTAAAGAAGTTTTAGCATTTGCAATTGAGTAATTTGGCTTTGTTCCAATTTCAAAAATAGTAATGTTTTCCTGTACTCGACAAAACTTAAACTTTGCATCATCAGTTTCATTAACAGTTAGTCAAATATTGATATGTTGCGTATCAAATATAAAAATAAGAAAAGATGGATTAAATATATAATTGCATTTATATAGGTCTACTCCTCAAAGATCTCAGAGAGAACTTGCTGACTGTATTAACCGTGCTGCGCCTTTAGATGATATCAGGATTCTAGTGGCTTGTGGAGCAAAAGTAAACGAACCCGTGACCCAAGGCCTTCGTCCGTTGCACTATGCAGCATATCAACGTTATACGGAAGCGATGAAGTTACTTTTAGTAAGAGGAGCCGATCCTAACGTAATGGATGACGCCGGTTATACACCTCTTCATCTTTGTGCAGAGAGAGGTTATTTGGATCTGATGAAACTTTTAGTAAAGCACGGTGCTAGAGTATGCTTTACCAAAGTCGAAAGTAATGATAAACCTTATGGCAATCCTCCAAGAGCCTCGCCAGCTGACGAACCTTTGAGATTAGCTATTAAAAATGGTCATTATCTAAGTGCTTATTACCTTCTACAAAATGGTTCCGATCCCAATGCTCGTTATTTTCTGGGTTCCGAGATCAATCTGATTAGTCCACTTAATCTGAGATTTCTGGAGTTACTACTCAGTCACGGATCGAATCCTGATGCCATGGATCGCACTGGATTAACTCCATTAATGAAAGCTTGCAGACACCCCGAAGGGCTCGATGCTGCTTATTTATTACTAAGTTACGGAGCGGATGTTAATGCCATGTCACCTCCTCACAACGATTCTCGAACTGTCCTTCATTACGCTGTATTGAGCGGAAATGTGAATATAGTCAAAATGGTTTTGGCACACGGTTCGGCTGTTAGATATGCACCCGATTATCACAAATCTACTCCTTTGGATTTTGCTGTTTTGACTGGAAATATAGATATTTTAAAATTGCTCATTGAAGCAGGTGCCGATGTGAATTCTGGTTCCGAAGTGATTGGATCGTCTTTACATATTGCTGTAGCCGAAAAAATAGAAAACAAACTGGAAATTATTCAATTGCTTTTGGAAAATGGCGCTAATCCTAACTCTGTGTCAGTATTCAGCGAAGGACCGCTGTTAAGACCGCCTTTAGCTGAATATTTTAATGCATCCGAACAACCCAGTATAGAGTTAGTTAGAATATTGCTCAGATATGGTGCTCGAGTCATTTTAAAGCACCAATTTCATCATCCTTTAGGAATTTTAAAAACTATTCATCGTCTCCATTTAGGATTAACACCAGAAGTACTCACATTAATACTAGAAGCTGCAGAGGAATTCAGTATTGGATCTATCCGTCGTTCTCTTATGTTATCTGACGATCACAAAGAACTGCTATTGCAACGCGCTCTTACACCTTCCAGCATGAAGCATTTAGCTCGTTTGGCAGTCAGACATCTACTTATAAGTGGAAGAAACTTGCCACAAACAGTGTTACAATTACCTATACCAGAAACCTTAAAAACGTATTTGTTGTTTGATCCTTAAATTGTAGCAAATCGCGAATGTTTTTTTCCTGTATATGAACTGCTATAAAGAATTTTCTTAAAAAATAAAATTCGTTTCATAATACAAACTATTTTTCTATCTTGCACCGAATTAAATATAAATTTAGGGTTATCATAAGTTCAAAACCAGAAATCGGGACATTGTGGTAAAATTTGATGGATATCCAGCATTAGATAGGCAGTTACTACTATGGAAAATAAGTGAATAATTCTAATTAAACTAATTTTATTGAACCTTCGTACTTATTTGACTAGCATATTTCAAGTAAGTTTTTATTAGAAAACCAGGCTGCTTCCATTGTGGACATGACTATGATTAAACAAAGATTTTTTAGTGCCCCAAGGCAGAAAGAGTAGGAAAAAAGTAGACTAGGCCAGACAAAACCATTGATTCATCGTTAATGATTACATGAAACCATCGCACAGCATTACACAAGGCCAACAGAATACGTTAGATTACCAAGTATACACCTGCAATCATGAGGACAGGTGAAATATGCATGCAACGACACCTGCCGCATACGATTAAAGGCTGAGCGCAACATTGATCTAACTGCATTTGTTTAAAACTTGATATATTATTCTGTAAAAATGTGCACTAATTTTTCAAATTTCGCTGTTATATATTTTTCTAATCTTCTGTATTAAATACACGAAAGTATGGCATTGTTAACTCAATTTCAATATAGAAGAGGAATTACATCCCTTGTGCTCAGCCTTTCAATTCTTATTTGACTTTTTTAAAATACAAATCGGAATATATTCGGATAAAAATGGACATTTCGAGACATACGGCAACCTTATATTAATTATCATATTAAAGTAATGCACGTTACTAATAAGACGGATTTAAAAGGTGTGGCTTTTATCAAACGATAATTAACGTCATCTTTCCTGTGTCGTGCACTCTAAAGCGGGTTGACTGATTCCGTAAGCAAATGACCTAGGCTAGAATTATCATTTATGGAAGTCACGTAGAAAAGAGCACATTCGGAATGGTGATTAATTCCGCTTAAATATTCGTGACTTAAATATGTTAATAACTTCTCTGTTAAAAATGTGTACAATAATTACAGCTTATCGTAACTACAAACTTTAAAATAAACGTTTATATACATATAAAACACACAAACTTGGATTTTCTATCTCAAACCAATATTATAAACATTGTTTTCTTTTTTATTAAAATGTTATGAAAGAACCTCTTTTTATGATTCAAAAATTTTTTAATTACAGGACTTGAAGAATAAACTATAATATTTTAATTATATAACACCGAAAACTATTATTACTAAGGTACAAAAAAGGTAATTAATTTCATATAACTAAAATGCCAACATTTTATTTTTATTAAAAACCAGTTGCTGTAGTGTTATCTATTAACTGTAAATGGCACATTCATTAACTTGTTGAAATGGAAAACAAAACGAGAACAATAATTGAAGAATAGTATTTTTAATGTACCACATTAACATTGATACATGTCAGATTAGCAACAATTTACAATTTGGAGAGGGAGTCTAACACTTTCAAACTTTCTGAAAATACAATCCATACCAATGGTATTTATATGGAAAAAATATATGTAAATTTAATAAAATGATATATTACATTCTAAATTTACTTCCTAAGTGGAAACAATAACAACAAATGTATATCCACGAATTATTCCATGAAAATCACACATCATAAGAAATATCACCCACACTTGCCCTATACCACTTTTGATTAACAAAATTTTTTTTTACTCAATCCACTTACTATTTGTAACCCCTTCATCCAATAAACTATACACAATTATTATGGATGAAAAATAAACTGATTATTAAAAAAATAAACATTCCTGAGTCATATGAGCTTGTTTATTTTAACTATAGGATGACACCTACATATTTTTTTTCATTTTATAATGCTTCTTTGTTTGACAATTTCAAATGCAAGTAATGTCAAACAAAATTAAAAAGTACTTCTATTAGAAGCTTAATAAATAAATTACATTTGTTGTTATTCTTCCAACAAAATATATGTTTAATCTTTTTTTAAATACATTAACATATTTTTTAAATTTTTATATTACATTTCTTTCAAAAATTACAGAATCAGAAAATTATATATATAATTTGTTTCCTTTCAGAAGAACAGATTCGGGTGAATTTACAAATTCTCATTTTTAACAGATACATTATTTACAAACATATAGTACAAAATATATCTTAAATTCTATTTCTCACATTTTATTTTTCTATCTATTCAATATCATAAATATATATTTTTAATTTTCACCAGATAATACACAAAAGGTTTTAAAGTAAAACAAATAACAATTGACTTTAAATACACTTTTGGACTTTTTCTTATAGAATAAAAATAATTTGTACAGTTTCCAATGAATTTTAATTAAACTCAGGTACAACATAATTAAAGACTAAATTACTTTATTACAATATAGAAGTGTGAGTTATAAAATTCCACAGGCATCTTTTTTTTTTGTGTAAATATGATAATTTATTAATGGCTAACTCTAACCTTTTTATGATGAATGTGTGTGTTGATTCATGCAAAATATAAAATAAATTTTCAATTTTATTCTCAAAGCAAAGCATATGGAAATTGTATGTTTTTATTCTATGGAAGTGAAGTTTAAATCTAAAACAGAATAAACATGTAACGAGTGAAAAAAATTTTCATTTTGAACAAAAAACTGAAGTTGTTGAATATAAAACAAATCAGAATAATCGTGTAAAGAAATTTTACAAGACTGGAACATTCAAAACACTATATGCAAAAAAAGGAAGGCTTTCAATGGGAATTATGGAAATTGACAATATCAAATTTCATGGCAAAGATGTGAAGTAGATGTGATGATATTATTCAAATGTAAAAAAATATCTTATATATAGAAATATATTATATAATTTTGAATGTTAACTTAAGCACCAAATCATATTTTTTAAATATTTTTAAGGCAAAAATGACGGGAATTCTACAACCCCTTTGAAGCACCATTTATTTATTTATTTTTCTTTAAAGAAAATTATTTGAGTGTATTTCATTTTATTTATTTTATAATATATTTATATTAAAATTAATTATCATCAATAAGCAAATTTGGTTATTTTCTTAGAAATGTTTATTATTATTTAAAATTTTTAAGTAAGGTAGAATATTTTTTTTTTATTTCTTTATAGCAATAGAAAATCTGTAAAAAATCTCTCTCTACAGTTAATTAGTTAAATATTGTTTAAATTTCAAATAATTGCTTTGATATATTATTATGAAAATATATTTTTATGTAGTTTTTTTGATCTAACATTAAAAAATTATTTTCTGATGGCTAAAATAAGATTAAATATTAGTGAATTAAAGCACTAATTTGATAAAGAAAATTGCAATAACAATTGTGCAACAATGTATAAAATATATAAAATCAATAAATGTAATTTTAAATTGTGCAAGAAATATAAAATCTAAACTGTACTAAACAATATTTTAATATTATTTCATATATATAAGAATTTATTTCCAAAAGTTTTAATATTTGTTTATCACAAAATTAGAATTTTTCTTTAAAAAAACTTTCCAATCTATTTTGTAAAAAATTTGGCAAAAATAACTTTTTGTAAATTTGTACCTAATATAATCATCTAATATACATAATGGATATACGTAATTGAATCTTTAAATTAACTTTATCAAAATTTATAACATTCAATAAATCCTTTCTTTAAAAACAAATTTAAAAAAAACTTAAAGAAAATTTCCAATTAAAACTACCTCCATGATTTTATCAAACAGATCAGATTTTAATTGTCAACACAAAATTTATTTCAAATACTAGAATAGATTTGTTCATGTTTAGTTTCAGAATAATATATATATATAATTTATTTTCTCCACATATCCATTAAAAATATCTTATTTTTAAAATATTTTTCATATATCTATTTTCCTTAATATTTCTAATTTCTATATTTTGTCATACTTTAAAGATGGAAAAATACTCACTTTACTCATATCTTTACAAGTTCTCATGTCTTTGGCGAGAAATTTTTTGCAATATACAGAAAAATGTGTGTTACAACAGTGAAGTTAAATATGATTTTGGATATATATACAACTTTTTCTTCAGTAAATAAAGTCATTTCAAAATATGAAACAACTTACTATTCCAGTTCATTCTTTAACCTAATATAGCAGTTTATCTATTCAACTTTTGATATGTTTAGACACACATTATATATAAAATATGAAACATGGATTTTTATATACAATATTTATTATATGCTTCCAAACAGATAAATGCTATATGATAAAATAAGCACATGGCCATAAATTTATCTATCTGGTGAGCTTGAATTGTTATAATTATTTCTAATTTAAAACATTTCCATATTGTGGATTTTAATCAGGTACAATTTTGATACCAATTTCTAATTGACTTTCTAATAATAATAATAATGAATCATTACGTATGTAATAGTGTATAAGACAATTACATAAAAGCAATCCAATACCAGAAATTCCTGTAAATGACACAGGAATTCCAGCTTCAGAGAATATGAGCACCAGATATATCTGTATTGATCCCAGCCTATAAATTAATTTATAGAACAAAAATTGCTGGTACCAACTATACAACTAAATGACCAGCTAATTCTTATCTTTTAATTCCAAAAAATTTTGCAAGTTTCCAATTTCAGATTATAGTGATTATCAATCATCACTGTGAAGGAAGATTATTATTCTTGATATATGTGCAGAAATAAATTGTCAAATTTTTTTTCTGTTTACATATCTAATGAAACATCATAACTTCTCATTTAATACATTGATACTGTTTCATTCACTTATAGCAAATTAAATTTGTTACATTTTGGGTAGATTCTTCTTTTGAAATATCATATAATGATTACAGTTCTGATGCAAGATAGTCATTTTTCAGTGAAAGTACTGTACATCTGTAAAAAAAAAATAATATAAATGGATAAATTTGTATAGCATACTAAATTTACAATATTTCACACTAATTTCAATTCACAAGAATCTTTATTTGAATTATTTTCATATATTTATGCTTATATAACATTACAGTATTTATTTAAAAATGCTAAAATAAAAAAAAAACAAAAAGGTTATTCAAATACATTACTGGTCCAAATATCCAGCAAACTTGAGAGTGAAAGTGGTCCAAATTTTCTGGTTTTCTGGATACAGGCTTAAAATATAAAATAAAAACAATTTTGATCTTTACTTTCCATTTTTTAGCACATTGCATGCCAACAGTCACACCCCAGAACTGGTGTCATGCAACATATATGTTATGGAAACCAAAACAAAGTGGTTACATGGTAAAGTATAGCTGCCAAATTCAAAACTAGCTGAATTTCTGAAAGCCAGATGTTTGGTCTGGTACTATTAATAATATATTTTTACCATATAATTTATTTCTATGGAGACAATAGTATATTAATCTTATAACTAAAGGCAAATATTTTTGTATTTATTTCATTATACATCCCATTGATAGTCTTTTCTAGTTCAAATAAGTAAAAATTATGCATTTTAAAATTGAGGAAATATGATGTATTATACTGTAACAACTAATTAAATTTGATAAGCAATTTCTAAAGTTAAAAATAGAAATCTTGTTATTTTTCATTTATTAAAAAAAAAACCATTAAGAAATCATTCTGAGATGAAAATATTTTACAAACTGACTGTCTAATCAGATCCATTTTCAAAATATACAGAATTAAAAGCACAACTTATAGTTTTTACCAGAAAACTTTTATCTAGAATTTTCCATCTTCTAAACACAACATTATTTGATTATCACCCATGTTTCTCATTAGTTATTTAGTTCAACAAAATTAAAAAAAAAAAAAGAATTAACATGATGAAATGACAACTATTATGTTTGTTTTATATTTATTTTGTTATGATAATATGTGCGAGGTTCCAGATGAAGTTCAAAATCAAATTAATATATTACACTATAGAAAAAGAAGGAAAGTTACTGTTAAATCAGAACAAAGGTTGCATAAGTTATGTAAAAAGAGAGAGAGAGAAAAACAACTATAGTTGTGAAACAAACACAACACGGTGATGTAGTATTAGTATTAGTAGTATTAGTATTAGTATTAGTATTAGTATTAGTAGTAGTAGTAGTAGTAGTAGTAGTAGAGGTATCACTCTTTGGTATGACTTGTGTTATGGAAAAGGGGGGGAAGATGGGGTGGGGGTGAGAAAGGAAAGGGGATGAAAAGAAAAGGGTTGGGATCCATGGGCGTTCTGCAACAGTGTTTTATAAGGAATAATCAGCAGAAAAAATAATAACGATAACAAGAATGTTACAGAGGAATACAGGTTGGGTGTAGTTATGTGCCGGATCGTTAAAAATGTATATCCGCGGATACGGATATGGATCTCAACTTTCGTACTCAGTCGGCGCCAGTGCTTGTGACCTTGGACCGATAGTTGACGTTTTGTGTTAGTAACGCGACATGTTTTGACTTGCACTTGCACTGCGCATTTTTTTGTTTATAGTTTAGTATGACATAGATAGCATAGATTATGTTTGTATCTTTGGAGAGTGTTGAGTTAAATTAAAATAAAAACAATGTTGACAAAAAGTTTAGTAGTGTAGTATGGAAATATTTTACGATAGTAAATGAATTTTGCATGATAAAATTTTTTCAATATGAATGTGCCAATATGTGATTTTAAGAAATAAAAAGTGATTTGAATAAGTTATTAGTATTTTATTGCTACCTATCTTTAAAATTTCATATAAGTAATGAAATTCATTAAGATAAAAGATCCATTAAAGATCCGCTAAATGTAACGGATACGGATACGGATACGAATCTTTTTTTCCCTCGGATATCCACGGATACGGATACCTGGCACATCACTAGTTGGGAGTGCCATGTTACAGATCGCAAACAGCACTGACATATGAACAGATACTAACGTAAATACAGTGTGCAGATTAACAGTGCGTAAACTAGATACAGGGTGGGTGCCAGGTGCCAGAATACAGGTAGCCCGAGCAAATTAACAGGTTACAAACGTATATATAGTTGACATTACCAGGGTTACACTAAAAGCATAGACAGTGATTTTTATTAACGTGTGGTGTTAACATTGTAGTTCAGTAGATTTGCATGACTACAAGGGAACAATTGATTATAGTGGAATGTTGACTGGAAAGATGGAACTTCGACATGAGTGCTCATAAACAATCAATCTACGTTAGAAAATCAGAAAGGGGGAAGGGTTGATGGTCAAAGAGTCATTGCATGTGATCATTAAAATTCTAAATTGACAGAAAAGGGAGACAACGGACTAAATTACGAGTGCAAGGTTTATAGTTCTATCAACATCTCCCGATCAAAGTCAACAGAAGGTATCAGATAGACTCTCCGAAACAGACCTTTCTCGCAACCTAAACTGGTCTTGGTTTTCACCTGGCGACAGGGGAGAGACCAATCGGGAAGCAAGATGAGGGGCATTGGGTCAATCCAAAAGGTAGATGGAGAGGGGGAAAACTATAAAAACTTCAGATTTCAAGGTCTGACACACAGATCCTTAACCTAATACCAGTGTATTATAATTTGTGTGCCAGTGAACAACAGTGCCTTTGGTCACTCCATCAAGTCAGAACTTCGTAATTTGGCAGAAAACCCATCTACTGTCCCAGGGCTGACATTGCCAACACCAATAATCTTTGCTGTTCCCAAGATGCCACTTCAAGACAACTTTGTACTTCAGGAACCAGTGCCCAAAGGGAAAACACCTTGTGAATTTTGTAATCATCACTTTGTTTAATAAATGGGTTAATTGTAAGACACGTGTTATCTCTGTCTTCAACACCACTGCCTATAGGCAAACAGATCCTAGACCAGTGATTCCCAACTCAGGGTATGCGTACCCCCAGGGGTATGCAACAGGTTGTTTAGGGGTACAGAAAAAAGTTACTTATTATGGCAGAAAAAATAATATGTTATATATCACAAATTAATAGTACAGTAGAACCTCCATTATCCGGATTTTCGATTATCCGGATTGTTCAAAATAAACAAAAAATTTTACGAATTTGCTGATTTGCACTTGGCGAATTATGACACTGTTTATGTACGTGATGGAATGCATAACTTTTTTGTTTCAACAACGTCTCACCCAGCACAGTGGTCGTAATCTCTTAAATATATTTTACGTAGTAATAAAAATATAACTTGACATACGTATTTATAAATAATTTATATTCAAATTACATCATTTCTATGACCAAGAGTGGCGTAAGGCATGGACGATGTGGGCCACCGCCTATGCCTTGCGGTCCGAAGGGCCTCGCCCCTCGAAAGTTTACGCATTACTTAAAAGCCGCTAACGCGACGAAAAAATTTTACTCGTCATAAAACGATAAATAGTTTGTCAAATTTTTATTCATAAAAATGCAGTTTCAACTNAAAATTATACTTCAGAAGTTAATTTAGTATCAAAAACGTAAAATATTTGAGTAGCCGAAGACATAGCCAAAGATTACAGCGCCACAGCACTGGCGAAAATTTAAATTTGTCGACTGGAATTCCTTCAGATAACCGACCTTCGGATAAACGATGCTCTACTGTATTATTATTATCTCTCAACAATATTCCCATGTGTTGTTTGGAAAAAGTATTCTTTTATTTATAAAAAGTATTTTTATTGTTAGCAAAAAAAGGACATAGCTATTTTCTCCAGATTTTCTCTACAAATGGTAATTTTTTCCATTACTTATTCAGTATTTTTATTAATTTTTTATCGACAAGACTATGTCTTGTTTATAAAATCATACTGCCTGCTTACCAGCTTAGAGGTATGAAAGAGTACCTGTCAAAAGTTGCAATTTGGAACAAAGTATTTGGTGCCCAAATCATTCATGCATAAAAAAAAAACAAACTTGTAGGTACTCAAGGGACTGAGAACTGAGTCAAAATAAAATTCAAAATGGCAATACTCTCTACAAACAGGCAGTGTGAGATTTGTGCATGCATTGCTAGTTGGAAAATTGGAAATGCCACAAGGGTACACTAATGAAAAAAGGTTGGGAAATGTTGCCTTAGACTGTTTCTGACATGGAAGTAATGTCATTTCCCCCCTTGACAGTTGGCAAACTCACACTGGTGTTGGAGAAGTGGAATTTTAGGTCCCCAATCTTTACCAGTGTCGGCAAACTCACTAATAACTAATAAAATCAAATTAAATGCTAAAATTTTGAAGATGATTTTAATCATAATCAGAAAAATTAACATTTAGTTGATTACAAATGAAACTAACTAAACTACTGTTACTAAAAATTTGTAAATGTTTCTAAACATGTAAAACTGTAATGTAGTTAACCTTTAAAAGTAACCCTTTTATAATCCTTTAAAAGTAAATGTTTTTAAGCTTGCATTACTTCTAATAGTCATTTAGATGACATTTTAATTAAATCTTTATAGATACATCTTTGAGATATCATTTAACAGAAGATGAGACAGAGAGCCATAGGTATCAGCAAAATTAACTTTGTGCTGACCAATCTCAAATTGAGATATATGGGTGGCTTAAAATTACTGATCTGTAATTCACAGACTTTGAAATGTGACCTTAGAACTGCATGTCAAACCATTTGCTTGCAAAACTGGTGACAATTTCATCTGACAGGATGATAATGTTTGTCTTCAAAGCCAGATCTGTTGAGCAATATCTAAATAACAATATCAGACATATGAATTGTCTAGCTCAACCCTATAGAGAGCATGCATGATTCAGGTTTTAATCCACCTTTGAATCCTGTAGGAAATTAGCTACTGTTCCTCTAACATACTTTTATCATTTCCAGAAGATCTTCTGAACAATCTGATTTTGAGTATCAAGCTCTAAGGTGAGAGCATTACCACAATGATGTACCACAAGCCCAAACATCAGTCTT